TTGGGACTCAGCCCGAAATTAATCAAGAGCTGAGCCCGATCAAACCGACACTGTAGCGCAGCGCAACGGGAAAATTACAGAGCCTGGCAAATAATAATATTTTTATGCGCAATCCAAATTATTTTTTGAAATTAAATTATTTAATACATTTTAAATAAAATAACTTTAATTTTTAAAAATATAGTACTAAATTATAATATTAAATATATTATATAGCTGTCCTTGAGACTACCGTGGCCGACCATTTAGTCGACTGTGGCTGATTGTGACGGCAAAATATTACAGCCTTCTGTGGCCCACCGTGACGCTCGATAATCCGTTTTTTTTTCGGACCCTCTATAAAGAAGTTTTACTTCAATAAGCCTAATTTATAAGTAATATTTTGATTTTATTATAATTGTTTTGTTCTTTGTGACACGGTACCGTGTTTCCCTCAGCCGCACATCACGTTATCAACCTAAATGAAAGTGTATCGGGACCATAAGTGCACGGTGGCCTAGTGGTAAGGTTTGTCTATACGACGCCTTGGGTCGCGGGTTCTAATCCCGTACCGTGCCTCTTTTTTTCACATGATTTCCGGTACACTTTCTATAACCGGCCGTCAATCCCCGGCGGCCGTGTTAATTGTTCAAATCGAGTTCTGTTAAATTTAAAAAAAAACTTAAATGTTTTTGAATAGATTTGCTTTAATTTTGAGATTACTTCAAAATTCACAATTGTCATTTAAATGTAATATTTTTTATTAAAAAAGAATTTTATTCAGATTTTTATTATATTAAAATAATTTTAGTAATGTTTTAATGTCCAAACATATTACTTTTTAATAATTCTTAAAATATTTTGATGATGATAAATTGGCAGTAGACCCAATTACTATTTTAAGCCATCGTAGTTAGTCGATTCCCAGTGCTTTTTATCTTGCATTTCGTCAGTACCTCATACCTAGGTGTTACTCTTATTCTATTTCTATAACAACGGCTTTTCGAAACTCATAGCTGACCGGAGTGTAACTGCTGTAAGATCACTCGTATGTGAATACCCAGGCTTAGCATCTTCGTATCCACATTACTCTACGCTTACTCCCTTTATAGGCTGTTTTGTGTTACGACAGATGTAAATTATAAGAAAAGTATAATGTCACAAAAATTGTATTATGTACCAATCTGATATCATAAAAATGTTTTGTAATTATAAATATACATATATATATATATATAATATATATATATTATATATTCATGTAATAGTTATCTAAGTCATGTTACCATGTAATAAATTATAAAATGATAAAACAATCTAAAAAAGCAATACTGTATTTGAGAATGATTACACGATTAGTACTTATTATTCCGAGAATATTCTCCAAATCTTCGATACATTTTATGATTACTATGCATGATTTACGAATATAACATTTAATTACTTGAAATTATTATAAAAGTATTTAATTCATATGAATAAATTCATAATATACCAGAATTTCAGGAATTCTATTATTTACAATATGAAATCATGAATATTCTAGAAAAGATCTGAAAGAATATTTGACTAATAAGAGTACTAAAATAACTGATTAATATTAATATTAAAATTTAAACATGTTATGCAGTCAATATTAATCCATAACCTAAAAAAGAAGAAGAATATTTTATAAAATGTAATAATAATTTATTTATTTTTAACAAAAATATCTTAAAATGAGTAAAATAAATTATAACTACTTATGGTAATTTTATTAATGTAGGCCTAGTATACTAGGCTCACGGGAATAACAAAATAATACTTTATATTTCATTTTTACTGATACAATTATCTGAATAAATTACTTAAGATTATAGTATATATTATTTTTATTTCAAGCTCGAAATATTTTTTGATTAGTTAACTTTAAAAAATATAAATATAATATATCATGATTGTGCTAGTTGAATACCAAAAAAAATAAATAAAAGATGGTGACTATTAACTATATAAAGCAAAATGGCTTCGGTAGATCACTACACAATCTAACTTTTTCTATTCTTTCCTTTTTAATACATCAGTAAAGTAGTGCAATAGTCACTGTGTAGAACAGTATGGTGGATAGAAGTGATCTTGGTTATTTCTGCCAATATAGTGATATATGAGCTATATATACCAATATGAGCTATTTCGCTCATTACGGTGGAAAATGAGTAAGAAACAAAATCGACTGCCGTACGCTTACAAATCTTTTTTCGGCATTCAAAATATTTCTTCTTGAATACAATTTTATTTTATGAGCTTAAATAAGGATAACGAAAGGTGAGTCAATTTTATTAACCCTTATAATAAATTTTAATTGCCAAAAGAATATTGACCGTTTTTAAATAATAAGGTTTTATGAGTAGTTAAAATCATTAATATAACAATAAGTATATTTTATCATATTATAAGAATATACGGTGTACACACATTTTAGAAGTCTTTGGAGCAAAACGTTAGTGCTGCTGGAGGCGTCACTCCGAGCAAAGAAATCCTAAAAGAAAACCACGATGTAACCGGCGTTACTAAAGGTACTTGAAGCAAAGAGTCTGTGCTATTGTCGGAGTCACTCGAAGAAAATGTCTTTAATTTTGAAATAATTATTTTTCGACATATTTTTTTTAAAATGTTCTTTTATATTAAATTACTAAAACTTAATCATTAGTAATATAATAATATGTAGTATAATAATAATGATATATAATTATAATTGTACAGTTTAAACACCTAATTTATTATTTATTCAACGTAAAACTATCTGCGCATAATTTTTATGTAATACTTCGATTTCATTATATTTACTTTGTACATTTTTTCAAGTTCTCTTAAATAAAAAAAAAATATTTTGAATAAATTTGCATTAATTTTGAAATTACTAAAATAATTAAAATATTCTTTATATACGTGCTATTTTTTTTTTTTTATTAAAAATTTTTTTTTTTAACTTTATGTTACACTTTAATTCTTAATCAAAAAAAAAAAATATATATTATTACAGAATGTAATTGGATTACAGACAACCAATTTCAGAAATCCTTGATTTTTTTATTTTTAAACATACGTCATTTCTAACAAAATTACCTTTTCAAATAAAATAATAGAGTTATGTAATCTCTAACAAACGTCTATAATTTTCAGTCAAAATTTTAAATTCAATTTAAAATGACTCAGTTTTTCTATAGTATAATCAAATAAAAAAATTAAAAGTATAAATTGCTATTTTTAATTTTAATTTTTATGACTATATATTAATATTAAACTAAAACTGGCTAAAAACAGTATTCATTCCTTGGAATTCCAATAATGAAATAGGTAATTTTATAATATAAATAGATATTTATATCTATTTCATATATTTAATTATACCCCCATAATTCATCATTTTTTAAAAATATTTAATTTTTGTCCTAAAAATATACTATTGAATAAAAAATAATTATTTAAAACACTTAAAAGTCGAATGTAGGAATTGTATATTCCTTTTTTTATAGACATTTTTTTTTTTAATAGTCATATAATTTTAAATCAAAAATTAAAAAGAAAAATTATATTTTGTAGATCATAGATAACTAAAAGTACGATCCAATTAAAATTAAAAGTACCCTATTAATTATTTATATATTTTTCAAAAAATTATACTAACTGCTACAACTTATATTAATAAAAAACAAAAAGTGGTATAAAATATTATTCATTGCATGCTGTAATAAATGTTCTTACAATATAAATCAAATACTAGTAATAATTAATATTCATTCCCTGCTGTTCCAATAATAAAATAGATAAATTGTTAACATTTTAATTTATGTATTTTAGTATTGTCAATTGTATAGTAAACAATTTTAATATTAAAATTATAAAATTATAGTTAACATTAACACTAATTACAAGTGCTAAGAAATTAATGTATTTATAAATGTTGTTAAATTATTTGAAATATTTCATCAACCAGTAAAATGTTTTATTAATTTACTTAAAAATTTAGTAATATGTTTTTACCGGGGTTATATTTATATTACATTTTTTGAGATAATAAGGATTTTTCATTTAAAAACGAAAATTTATAAATGTATTTAATTCCTAGCACTACAATATAAACGCATTATTGTACTTAAAACCCAAAAAATAACTTAATTATAAGCATCTAGAGGTTAATGCTAATGACTTCGATGTCATAATTTTTCTAAAAAAACATAACACTTAGTATTTAAAAATAGTAAAAATCAATATTTGAAATTGATTTAACAGGTTGTTACAAAACTCAGGTTCATTTGTATGCAAAAGAAATATTTAAAATAGATAAAATTGTAGGATTTTGAATGCAATCATAAGGTATATCCCCTATCAATGTAGTATTAATATCATTATCAACCAACGTTTTTATAAAATTTATAATGATATTTTAATAGTCTATTTAAAACTGCTTTCTGTTCATACTCATACGAATTTTATATTTTTTAACTCTGAATCGTCAACACGAGAGAGAACTACAGCCATACAACTGATAAATAAAAGACTAGCTGAAATTCGTTTTTACTCTTGTACAATTACAAAAAAATATACATTTTAATTTACTCAATTTTATTCTCATTCATTAGAGAATGATCTAATGAAAATAATGACTGCTGAATCACAACCAAATATTGCTTAAAAAGTTTTTATCGATATGTAATTTTTTTATTTATATTTAATATATAAGCAAGTTAATTAGCTAACGGTGACAAAAACATTTCACCACGTAGACGGGCATAAAACCCATAAAAAAATAATATTAACAGGGTGTTCATGAATTTTTTAAAAAAGTAGAACAGCATTTTAGTTTGATCTTATTATAGTATAAAATATAAAATTTATAATAAAAAATATGTTAGCTACTGTAAACCTATTTACATTAAAATAATATATTTTAAGTATACATTTTTTTAGCGTCGCAAAAAATGATTTATATTTTTAATCACGTTTTAACACCATCAAATAAGTGATATAATGAATGCATTTACATATTTAATATTAAATTTTCCAAAGTTTCAAATAAGTAGATTTAAATATTATTATTTAATTTTAAATGGACTTTTTTTTAATAATTCGTATGACTATTTTCATTTTTGTACTGAAACCAGATAAAGCAGAACAAAACGTAGATTATCATTGGCATTATAAAAATTTCATCAAAACAGTGACTGATCACATTCGTTCAAGTATTGAATCAAATGAAATACGAAATCTAATATTGAAATTAGATTCAAATTATACTATTAAATTAGAGGAAGCTTTCCAGTCCGACTTGTACCTGAATAATTTCAGATATAACTATTCTAATACAATAAGTGTACTCAATTTCAAGTACACAGGAATACTAAAAATATTCCTCAATTACTTAGATATTATTCTTCAACAATGTAAGCAATTTCGTGATGAAAATTTATGGGAAAATTTTATTTGTTGTATAACATCACTTGTAGAAGAAGTGAAAAATTCCCAGACTATGTTGGACAACCTCTACAACGTTATGAAGTATATAAGCGACATAGATGTAAGATATTTGTTTCAAGGAAAAAATGTTCCAAATGCTATAGTTGATGAAATTGATTTTTTTAAACAATTTGTCTTACAATATACATCAGAGACTGTATCTTTTGATCTCAATAGCTTACCAAATCTTAAAGATTCTGAAACGAAATTTAAGAATTTAAATGAGTTTTATACAGAAGCATCAGAAATAGTAAACAATATGTTTCAAAATAGTAATGTCATCGACACATCTGTAGAAACTAATTCGATAACAAATCAAATTAACGAATGCACTAATGAAAACGACTCTTACTTAGTTTATTTAACATGTAGTAATCTTAATGCGTTTTATAACAAAACCATAGAAATTTGGTACAAAAACCTTGACTTTGAAGAATTTCTAAAACCCAAAATACCTCAGTAAGTATTCTTACATTTAGTATTAATTTCCAATTTAATAGTTAATATATATAACTTTACATGTGTTTCCAAAATATATGAAATTAATATCGAAGATTAAATTAATATTTGGTTAGATTATTTCGAAAAGCGTAATAAAATTTACTTAAATACATTTTTCGAAATAGTATTAGAATTTATGAGGTTTCATTTTTCTTCTATATTGGTATGATCACTCGATCTAAGTATAAATTTAGGTATTATAGGAATATATAAGTTTAATTTATTGTTTGGTTAAATTATTTCAAAATAAGTATTATATTATATGTTCAACAGCTCATCTACAAATTTAAAAAGTATTATTCAGCTAAAATCTTCTTTATCTTTTTCCTTGCTTTAAACCCAATTACTTGGGGTTAGCCACCTTTATCCTAAACTTCTACTTTACACAATTTCCCACATAATGTAAGCTTAAATCAGTTGTCCTCATATCTCATTCAATAACATCCTTCTATCTCTTTTTTATTCTTTCCCTACCTCTTCTACCTTCAACATTAATTTCCAAATAACAGTTTTTATAGAATCCGATTCTTCTTTCCTCATAAGATGACCGAACCGTCTAGTCTATTTTCTCTTATCTCGTGAACGATTGACGCTAAACATATACTCTCTATTATATACTCTAATCATCCATCTTTTAAAGTTTGTTTATTTATGTATTTACATAATAATCTTATTATTTGTTGATTTACATAGATTCATACCTCCAATAGATCTAGATATAAATCAAAATGATGGAATTAAAGCTCTCAATATTCTTCGTCAGGAATCTGGTTGGAAAACAATGAATCACATACTAATAATTTATAATGGTAAACAATTCAGTGTAGATTTTATTATGAAAGACGAAATTAATAACATTAATTTTCGAGTGAAAAAAGAACATGTAATACAATTATTAAGATGCAGGTATACAGAAATAATGAAAAATTACGAAATATTATTATCTACCGTAGTACATATATGCAACAAAAGTGTACCACCGTACTATCAAAATTGTTTGATTGAATTATTTGACTCACTCAATAAATCAAAAAGAATGTTTGATGGATTGAATATGGCTATAAATACTTTAAATAATTCATCAATATGGAGTTTAAGTAATCACTCTCATTCTAGTTTGCAGAAAATATTGAAATGGAATACAGATTTTCTTAATTTATTGAAGAACAATGAATTTTCAAGGTGTGAACTAGGTAATAATATCATAAAAAATGAAGGAAAAAATACAGAAAAGTTAAAAAAACTACGAAACATTCTATCAGAGTTTCGTGATAACTTCTATAAAGAATTAAGATCCGAAATGAGTCGTATGAATGACCGATGTGTTATGAGAAAACCTTTTATTGAAAAATTTAAAATAATGAATGATATATTGTTAATGTCTACTTATCCATATTCAAACCAAATATATCTTAATGCAAGTAATTATTTTGGCATATATTGTGAGAATGTTTACAAAAATTGTTATGAAGATCTAGGTTTTGGAAAAATTCAGAATCTCAACACTAGCTTACACGACAGATATATTTAATTTATTGTGCAATGAATAAATTATTTATCCACATTGCAATTTGAATTTAAAATAACTACGCCTATACTCTTACTAAAATATAATGTTTTTAATATTTTTAGTACTATTATTTTTAACGCTTTATACGCCCGTTAAGGTCCATAGTGGCCTCCCGAAAAGGTAGAGGTTTCTTAACCATTGATCCATTGGAACGGGTGGTTAGTCCGTAACCGGAAAGAGGTATGACGCTCCGAATACTGAACTAATCTCCCGTTCAGCAAATGAAGCCACCCGTGCCGAGTTTCGAATTCGATGTAGTGCGCGTCAAGCACTGCCACGTTACGACTCGGCTTCATCGTCCCTCAATAATATTTTATATTTAATTATGTTTATAACAATTTTTTATTTTTATTTTAATAATATTACAGTTATTCTCTAGAGAGATGGCTTACATTAAAGTCGTCAGGATATTAATAGCTATTTACAAAGCTAATAATTTATAAGACTATATTATAATCATATAATATAATTAGAATATATAAAATTTGGTTATTTTTATTAATTATATTTTTATTTATGATTCAGTTAAATAGGAAATAATGAAAACATCCATAAAAGCAAAATTGTTTAATAAGGATGATTTAATTTAATTAATTTTTATTTGCCATTTATTAAAACAAAAAAAGAGCGTATTATGAAGTGTTTGTAGCCAAAATCTAGCTACAAGTTCGGTAAGTTTTTGATTTTGATTTTAAGGTTTTAAAAACGTCTTTTGTTTTGGTTGGAAGAACTGGATAAATTCAATGTAGATTGATTTGAACAGGCTTTTAATAACCTGTTTAAATTTTCGATTGTAAGTATAGATCAAACTCTTAATCCAAATTCATATGTCTACAATTTATTTAGTAATATCTGTAGTACAATTCCTATAATGAATTACAAATACAATGAAATGCTAAATCTTATGGTGGTTCCATGAATATTTCATATATAGAATGATCAGATTATTATTAAACTGTCAAATACTCTCAATATATACAATATTGGAAAACAATTTATTGATTATTTTTAATTACATATATTTCTTGATTTTTCAGCTATTATTTAAATTTTAGAATAATTTCTGATACCTTTTAGGGGAGTCAAATTAACTTTTTCAAATGACTATAAATGATTAACTATCTTATTAAAATTAAAATATTAATACTACTAATAATTAACAAAATTTAAGAATTTATTTACAATAAAAAAAACCCAACACAGTGGAGTTGTGGCACAGTTCAGTCAAGTATAATGATATCCGACAGTGATTAAAGTTACAATAAAAAAAAAACGCTTCGATGCAAATCTTTAGATAATGTTTAATTTTAAAAAATTGATGGATTATTCCAAAAGCTATATGATCTGCTATTTTCTTATTAATATCCTGATTAAGATAAAGTATGTCGTCTGAAAAAGGGATATAAATATTAAATCTCATAAAAATTTGTGTTGATCCATACATCAATACATTATTCAAAAAATTATAACATAATAAAGTTAAAAATGTAAAATACGAAATCGAGAATTTTCACACAAAAATAGCACTCGGTAGCCATTAGGGGGGCTCGAAAAATGAAAATTTTTTATAATGCTTTGAGGGTAGTGCGGAAAAGTTGCCTTTATACATAAGTAACTTGTGTTCAAAATTTCACCGCCCTAGGATAATGTCTTCTGTTCTGGCAAAGGCCGTGAAATTTCAAAAATTTAGTAAAATTGGAAAATTTTTTTTTTTTTTTGAACATTTTTTTTAAAGGTCACAGAACTTTGCGGTAGTGTGCAAAAGTTTCATCTATATATGGTTAATTAAAGTGCGAAATTTGGCGGTCCACGGACAATATGTTCTGTTCTGGCAAGGAGCCTGAAATTACCCAAAAATCGACAAATACACTGTTTTTTACATTATAATCTTAGGTATAAATATGAATTATTAATAATTATTTTAGCAGCAGATTTCCAGATTATCATTAACCAATAATAATTTATCAATAATTAATGATTATTAGTTATTAATTATCAGTCATTCTTTATCAACCAGGCATAATTGATAACTACCAGTCCTTATCAGTCATTCTTATTATTTAGAAGAGTTGATAGCTTGATGATTATCTCGTTACAAGAAAAAAGTCAATCAAATAAATTATAAATTTAAATCTGTTTATAATTATACTGGTAAGATATATCATTACTTTATATTGTCATTAATTTAAATTATGAATATAATAATTTAAACAAGTTTACCGTTGTAAATTTTTATACGGAAACTAAAAATATTAAACAATTATCTGTTTAAGCCTACTTTTTTAATTTGATTAACATTATCAATATTAAACGGTTAACATTTTTTTTCTCATGATAGTCCTGAGACATCAATTTGAAACTTCGTTCCTGTCGTAGATACTACGATCCACACTTAGTTTTTTTTTTGTTACAGAAAATGGCAAAATCCTCAAAATTTTTAAGACGGCGAGCATTAGACTGCCCAATTTTCGGGACACCGACCAATTTTTCTAGAATGCTTCCAACAAAAGGGGAGGTCATTAAATGCTGTAATTACGAAAGGTGGAGACTTGGATCTGAAAAAAGTGATAATAAGGAACCTTCATTTTCTTACATTGCTAAGCAAGTTTGTGTAATGCTGGAAATGTTGTATTTTGATGCTTCCATTCCAACAATTTCACAGAAACGTGTCCTTGATATGATTCATGCATATCACAAGAAATATATTGATATTAAGGCAGTTTATAAAAGAATAGATAAAAGCTTGTCAACTAAAGCAAGGGTGGAGAAGTTTAAAGAAGAATCATGTTTTCTTTTTGATATATCAGCTTGTAAGTGCTCCACGTTTACAGAATGCGTTTGTCCGAAGGAATCCAAGGTCCCCTTTAAGGAACAGACATTTCTTGCTGATCAGAGGACAAAGCGCTTAATGTGCATTGGATCGCTCGATTTGCAAGAAACTAAAAAGCTCCAAGCACGTGCTGAAAGGAAGAATAAAAATATCCCTCGTAGATCTAAATCTACAGCGTCCTACTCATTACAGCCTCATGGTGACGAACCGTCATCAACATCAACGCCATTAGAAGATGATGAGGCAATGGATGAAGATAAGGAACTTGAACCTGATGACTGCGACTACAATCCCGGACCATCGACTTCATCCTCTTGGCAAATGCGAAGGAAACTTTCAAATACCGCATTAATAAGTCAAAGATTTGGGGTATCGCTTCAAGCCACGGCTGCCATTGCTTCTAGTGTTCTGCACGACGTAGGCCTAATCTCTGAACTGGATACATCTTTAGTTATCGATAAAAACAAAATTGCAAGAGAAAGGAATCGAACCATGCAAGAGATTCAAAGAGANTTTGGTAACGGAGGCTTCAAAGAAAGTGTGTGGTCATAAAAAACGGGATGGATTTATTCGCTCCACTCAAAAATCAAGAAAGGCCATGCCTGAATTTAGATTCAAGAGACAGTACAAAACCTAAAGACCTAATAAAACACATATTTTTATTTTGAATATTTATTTCTTAATTCTTATGTCTAATAGTATGCGAGTGTCTTACAATTATTTTTATGTTTAATAAATGTTAGTAAAATAATGAAAAAAACAGTGTATTTGTCGATTTTTGGGTAATTTCAGGCTCCTTGCCAGAACAGAACATATTGTCCGTGGACCGCCAAATTTCGCACTTTAATTAACCATATATAGATGAAACTTTTGCACACTACCGCAAAGTTCTGTGACCTTTAAAAAAAATGTTCAAAAAAAAAAAAAAATTTTCTAATTTTACTAAATTTTTGAAATTTCACGGCCTTTGCCAGAACAGAAGACATTATCCTAGGGCGGTGAAATTTTGAACACAAGTTACTTATGTATAAAGGCAACTTTTCCGCACTACCCTCAAAGCATTATAAAAAATTTTCATTTTTCGAGCCCCCCTAGTAGCTATTTTTACCGTGAAGACCAAATAAAGTTCGAAATTTTATTTTTTCATGTTATAGTATATTACATTATATTATATTACATTAGCAAAACAACGTTTGCCAGGTCTATAATGTATAATTGTAAAATTTGATAGTATATTTTTGAGGGTAATGTTTTCGACTAGATACGATTTGTGATCTTTGAACGTATCATTGAAAGAAATCGGTTTGGCGAGAGGTTAGAAAAAGTGGTAACAGACACAAAAAAAAAAAAATTAAAAAAAACACATCATAGTAAAATCAATATAATAAAAATTGATCACTTGTGGCTAATTAATTAAGTAAAATTAAAACTATATTAAAAATATTATTAATTTAAAAAACTAAAAAATATTAAACTCAAAGCCACAAAAAAATTAATGAAAAGTCGCGGATACGTATTTCGGAAACAATGTTACCATTATCAACGCTAAACACATACTGACACCCCGACAAGAAAAAACTCTCTTATATACCCCTAGTGACCTTATCACCTAGTGACGTCATCACTAAGTAATATTATCACATTTTGCTAGTTTACACAAGTTTAATAATGAATTTTTCAGTGGGCCAAGATCCCAATTAATTAAATTGTTTTTATTTTTAAACATTTCTATTGCTTCTCTGATATTAAGTTCTTTGTAATTATTTACGTTTTTAATTAGTTTTATGGTTTTAATGGAGTGATTATGTGTCAATAAATGTTCAGCCACTGGAGATTTCTCAATTTCTTGATTTTTAATATTTCTTAAGTGCTCTTTAAACCTGACCCCTATATTTCTTTTTGTTTGTCCTACGTAACATTTATTACAACTTTCACATTGTATTTTATAAATGCCTGATTTCCCCCCTTCATCTACCTTATCTTTAGGGTTACCTAATAAATCTCTTAAATTATTACTCTTAGATGTTACCAAAGTAATACCAAAATTCTTAAATATTTTAGTTAATCCATTTGAGATGCCCGGATAAAATAAAATTGGTGATCTAATTACTTTTTGTTCCCCCTCGCTGGAGAGTGTACTAGCTGCCCTCCTTTCTTTTTTCCACTTTTGTTTTCAGACTAATTTTGAAATTATGTTTTCGTTATACCCATTAAATTTAGCTATTTCTTTT